TATTATACTTAATTGTGAAAAAAACTTTTTGAAAATTATTTTTTAAATGGTGTAATTTTATTATTTCCACCAGTTGTGACAATCAAAACCGGGGAGAGGCCGCATAAACTGTTTTGATTGCATATTTTGTACATCTAAAAATGTAAAACAATCTGATACATGGTTGAAAAGAGATTAAATGTTTGTGTTGCTTTTATTTATATGCATCTGGCATCCCCCACAGGAGATTTTTGATTCCAAACTGGTGAGATAGGTAATCCTTAACAGAACATTGAATGCCAGGAAGTGATCAAATATAAATACTTACGTATGAATGTAAACAAGAGTGTATCTGGTGACTTTTTTTGTTTTTTTAAATTGTCATTTGAAAGTGTTTTGTTCTGTTTTGATGAACAAATTAATAACAAAAACAACAACAACAAAAATCATCAAAATGTTAGTATAGTTCGCTGGTGTTACTCGTGAGCAGACAAAGGTTACATTTAAAGTCTTTCTGCTCTGTCTCTTTCAGCTACTGTACAGGAGAGCAGAAAGCGGTAAAAGTAATCATTGTAATTATGAAGCCTGCATGTCAAACATGTGACTTACCATGAAATCACTCTGATGATAGCAAAAATAACCCTGACCGCACAGTCAAACTAAGCGATCTTTTGAATCATTGTTAAACAAACATCCTGATGGACAACCTGCTAGCTCTCCGAATCCATGCATGCACACAGATTTGTGGCTTTGTGGTATGATACGGAAATTTATTCCTGAGCAAATGCTGAAAGGCTGCCACGTTTTAATATTAGATCAAAATTAAAACATGATTACAGTTGGATGTTTTTCTGGCGGAAGAAAATAAAATCTCAAGGACTTCATAAAGATGTCTTTGATGCTCTTGGTCAAATGGCCAGTGTTCGGTAAGCAGTCTCAGCTTTGCTTCTGACAGTTGAGGATTGGAGCTATTTTAAGGAGACCCCAGTGCCTTTGGCAGGTCCACCACACGCCAGTGTACAGCGGCTTCTATTGAGCTGAAGAATGGCTCCATTATTCCCCCACAAACACATATACTTTCACAGAGGTCCACCCACTTCTGACCTGCTCTCACTGAAACCCACCACTATCGGAAATACCCCCGTTTTTGTGAAGGTGGGAGCAAAACAGAACAGAATGAAACACTGAATAACTGCAACGAAGGTTGAAGACAGACCGTTTTAATAAAATTAATCTTTTATCTTAGCCTTCAAGAGCATTATGTGAGGCTTTTATAATGCATGCAGCAATTAATTAGCCATGGAATTATTTGATTGTTGTATATACACTGATTTCTTGTCCTTGTGTCTAATTAAATAACTAAACGATTCATAATCTGTCAGTTCAATAAAATAATTGCCTGTCACATATCAAAGCAGATGGTAAGGTTCCATACAGTCCTTGTGTAAATAAAACTTGCATTTACTGAATGGTGTATTAATATTAGAATAGTTGTTAAATACATGTTAATCAAAAACATTTTATTCTTTGAAGTAATTTAATGTACATAAGGCAGAGCAAATTGTCTACTTCACTGTTTCTGTTTCTTATCTATTGGGGAAATTAAATTCCTTAGTGGCCGATCACACCGAATGTGCTGTTATGTTCCAAAACGCAAGGCGCACCACACAGCCTTTTTGTTGACAAGAAAAGAAAAAGCACTTTTGTTATGACACTAGGCAATGACTGAATCAGCTGCGTATTGTGCAAGAGCACTGCTGTCGATATTGTAATAATTGTAATATTTCATAATATTGTGATATTCAAGATTTATAAAGTCATACAGCTCTGTATAACTTTAAAAAAATGCTGCATCCCAATTCACATACCATCCGTCCTTAATAGAATATGATAATAGAATTAGTATGTCCCAAATCGCAGTGTGTTGAAAAAAAGTATGCCAAAGGTTCCCGGATGGTTTACTAATTCTGGTAAAATGACTGTTAATTAATATCTTGTTAATTAATATCTAAGTGGAAAATATTTAAATATTATATAAATGTTAAATGTTACATTTAATTTGCAACAACAATACTGAACTTTTATAAACATGTGTTTGGACAATAACGTCTGAATGAATAAATATCCATAGACCTGAGGAGATTTCTCTGAATGAAAGCCTTATAAATGGCATATTATCCTGCTGCTGCTTCTCCAATAAGGTAGGAAATTAAATATGAAGGAAATGTGGATGATGTGTGGATGATTGACAGGGCTCATGACTAAGCAACACAATGATTTGTTAACGAGCAAGTAGTATGTCCCAAAGCTTGCATACTCTTCTGTTACACACTCAAAAATACATACTTTTCCTTCACAAAAAAGTACATACCTTTAGGGCGTAGTATAAGTATGCGAATTAGGACACAGCAAAACATAGCGTCACCTCAACAAAAACCCCGCCTCTGCTTTCATTTGATTGGAGAATGAAAAAGACACGGTAGATGTAATACGCTTTTGCTGCACAGAGCTGATCTTTTTTCAACTGCGAGCGGACGCAAAAGCAAAAACGTGAGACACAGCAGGTGGTTAAAACGTGAGTCGCACAGAGCACGCAAAAACGCTCTCGGCCATTAGTAAACCATTCAAAAGATGTGCCTTTCAACGGTAAAGCAGGTTTGGTGTGATAGGCCTCCTAGGCATTCAGATTACTAGATACATTTACGTGAAAATGAATAATCATGCTTATTCTAACCTGAACTTAAAAATATAAAAGAAAATAAATAAAAGAAAAGCGATTTGATAAATCTGATTATGTATTGTTATTTATTTAGCTGACTTAAGGGTAAAACTTAATAGTGATAATGGTCACGTATAAAGAAATTTTAAATGACAGAGAATTCAATTTTGTAGCCCCATTGAGAATAAAAATAATCTTAATTTGCTAAAATAATATTCTTTCTTTGAAATGTGTCTTATTTATTTGTAAATGACCTGTTGTCAATTCTGACTGATAACTTCATTATTTGTGTACCATCATTTAAAATTGAACATCACATGTAATATATAGGGTGGATAAAATGTATATTACACTTGTTTCTTGGTTATTTTATTATTGTTATAGTTGTCAAAAGTGAAAGACATTTATAATTTTACAACATATATCTATTTTTAAAAAATGTTATTTTATTTATTAAAAAGTCTTTCCACAAGATGGTTTATTATAAGAAACAATATAAGAAGAATAAATCTAAAATATATTTGAAGGATCATGCGAAACTGAAAAGACAAGTAATTAATAGCAGCTGAATTACTTTTGATATATACAATTAAAGTCAGAATTATTAGCCCACTGTTTATTTCCCCCCCAATTTCTGTTTAACGGAGAGAAAAAAAAATCAACACATTTCTAAACATAATAGTTTTAATAATTCAAATTCTAAAAACCGGTTTGTTTTATCTTTCCCATGATGACAGCAAATAATATATTACTAGATATTTTTCGAGAGACTTCCATACAGCTTAAAGTGACATTTAAAGGCTTAACTAGGTTATTTAGGTTAACTAGGCAGGTTAGGGTAATTAGGCAAATTTCTGCATGACGATGGTTTGTTTGAAAGAAATAGTTTGATCGAAAAAAAATAGCTTCAAGAGGCTAAGAATTGACCTTAAAATGGCTTTTTAAAAAATTAAAAACAGCTTTTATTCAAGCTGAAAAAAAACAAATAAGACTTTCTCCAGAAGAAAAAAATATTATTAAACATACTGTGAAAATGTTCTTGCTCTGTTAAACATCTTTCAGAAATATTTAAAAAAGAAAAAAAATTGAATAATTCTGACTTCAACTGTATCTATAAAACTATAATATAATATTTTCTAAAATTACTAATTATACTGTTGTTTATTCAAATAAAATCAATCTTGGTGATTAATAGAGATTATGAGAGAATAAATACATATCCCAAAACAATCAACAGCAGTGTATAAAATAAGCACAATTAAGAAGTGCACAAAATCAGCCTATGAACCATATGGTAGCATTTCAAAATCCTCTACATTATTTGTTTTCCATCATTCTGCCACACAGCCAAACACCAACCCATCCATAAATATACAGCCTACTCTGAGTGTTTATGTGAGTTTGTGTTTGTGTACATGCATGTGTATGTGTGTGTGTGCGAGCGTCAGGAAATACCAGGCCAAGCATTCCATCTCGTCAGCACCTCTGGCGCTCATGTGACTGGAGATACACAGCCCAGATTGTGTGTGCAAGTTTGCTCAAGAAGCATGATAAGAAAATTTAGTAAAAGTGAAGGAAAGGGAGGGCTAAAGGAAGGATAATCTGATATGCATGACTTGTGGTTTCTCCCAGCGCCTCTCTTTTCTTTGCCCTGGCAGAAAAGGCAGCAGGCATCCATAATTTACAGGCTTCTTCTTACTCTCTCTCCCTCTTCTTCTGGCAATCTGGCCTCTGTGGCTCCGCCCCCATTCCAAACTCATTTGCATAATGTAGATGCCACCCCAAAAAAAACACATTTTCACCTTCGAGCTATTTTACGTCTCATCAGCACACAAGAACGGGCAGATTTTAAAGCCTCGAGATGAAATACTGCTTCATGCCACATCCCCGACTGCCTGCTTTTTTCCCCCAAAGAATTTCACATCTCCGTAATTGTGCCTGCCTTTAATAATCATGTAAAAAAAAAAACTGACACTGACGTCGTAAGAGAGAACAACAAAGCAGCGAGTGATTTGAGAGGCCCCGCTGCTAATTATGACTCATGTTATACACGGCATTCTGTTGCCGCTCAGAAACACTAAATAAATTCGTCGTTTGACTGTGCTCAAGAAATATGAGCGTCTGACATGACAGCGTGCGTGCTTTCCCCTTTTTAGCACCAATTACGCCATTGGAGTTAATTCTGGAAAGTTGTTTTGAAGATAACGCCATGCGAGCGGTACATGTGTGTGCAAATCGGCGATTAGGTGAACAATCATTAGCAGAAACGAGCGGAGAAGGATCATCAGTCAAAAGCTCTTACCGGAGGATGCAGGAGATCTCTTTGTTCAGTGTTTGGCAAATTCACTCACATATCCTCATCAATCATAGAAGTGATCTGGAATGTAAATAAAAAACAACGTTGTATTAATTCTTTGCCAAATTGAATGATGTGCACGGTTACATATGTTCTTTTCAGTATTCATAATTGACCTTCCGTGCTTGATAATGTCACACTGCTAAATAAAGGCAGCTCACGGATAGACTTATTCTGCACTGGGGATCATGTACCATTATGATCTGTGGCATTTAGAAGCTGGTATGAGGGGCAATATTAAAACCAACCTTTAATTAACGTATGTAAAATAGCATACCCAACTAATCTGACACAGAGTCAAGCATACTGATCATCAAAAATGTCAAACGGTAGAAGGCGGTTTTCAATCTAACCAACTAATTTCCTGAAATAAGTGAATTATTGTGAAGATACTTCATTGAAAAGTGAGTTAGAACTTAGGAATACAGCAAGAAAAAGGCACTTGAACATTTGCAGGGGTTTAGCATTCTGTATGGGGTTTTGAAGATCATTCCACCAGCTAGGAACAGTGAATGAGAAGGTTCTGGAAATTGATGGATTTGTAGTAGAGTGAGGAGAACTAATACATTACTATAATGTTTATAAATCATTTTAAGAAGGAATAGCTCACCCAAAAATGAAAACTCTATAATCATTTACTCACTCTAAACTAGGCATGGGCCGGTACAAGATTCTGACAGTATGATAACCTTGGATAAACATCACTGTTTCGCGGTATTGTGATTACTGCTTTAAAATAGATTTTTTCGATGTCTGCGTAAAATACGAAAACTATTTCCCTTTTGGAGCAGTAAACATATCAGGCTAAATAATTAAAATTAATTATTGACTTCTGCTGTCTTCATTAGTCACAACAACACAGATTTGTTTACCATTAAAAACTGCATCTTTGGAAATCTTTTCAGCTGGAGATACTGTCGTAAAAAACGACAATAAATAAATAAATAAATAGTCCACATACCTTAGGAACAGTATTGCAGAAAATTTGGTGATCGTAAAACCTTGACTTTTCCAAACCGCTGTATACCTTGAAAGCGGTTATCATTCCATGCCTACTCTAAACTTGTTGAAAAGCTATCCGAGTTTCTTTCTAAAAAGAAAGGCACTTATTGACTTTAACAATATTTTTTATTCCTACTATGGAGATCAACGGGTTACAGCAACAAGCATTCTTCAAAATATCTTAAAGTTGTGATCAACAGAAACTCATGAAGGCTTGGATCCATGTGAGGAAGAAAAAATGATGAGGTAAATGTTTATTCAGGGGTGAATTATCCCTTTAAAATAATTTTAGGTTGCATTTACATTACAACGTTCAAGTGTCCCAATTCTGATTCTTTCTTTCCATGTGGCAGAGATATGACATGAACTATGAATGTGTAAGCAAGAAAACAGATTGAGATGTTCTCCAATCAATCTCAGGTCTCAAAATATTCAAATACTGTGAATAATGGCATTTCCCTTGCTTTTTGGTCAAAGCTAATTTGAAAAGCAAATTAGTATATTACCGAATGATTTCTAAATGATCATGTACTGCAGTAATGATGCAAACATCAGTTTTGAAGTCACAGGAATATATTGCATTTTAAAACATATTTAAATAGAAAAATACTGCAGAATTTGACTGTTTTTGCTGTACTTTAGATCACTGAAATGAAGGCTTGGTAAGCAGAAGAAAATCAATCAAAATCTTACTGTTCTAAAACTTAGTGTACAATTGAGGTCAGAATTTTTTTGCCCCTTGAATGAATTTCTGTTTAACGGAGAGGAGATTTTCAACACATTTTCTAAACATAATAGTTTTAATCAGTTCTAATAACTGATTTATTTTATCTTTGCCATGATGACAGTGAATAAAAGTTTGACTAAATATTTTTCAAGACACTTCTATGCAGCTCAAAGTGACATTAACTAGGTTAATTAGGTTAACTACAGTAGACAGGTTAGAGTAATTAGGCAAGTTATTGTATAAGGATGGTTAGTTCTGTAGACTTTTAAAAAAAAACATATAGCTTTAAGGGGCTATATTTTGACCTTAAAATGTCTTTTGAAAAATTAAAAACTGCTTTTATTCTAGCTGAAATAAAACAAAAAAGACTTTCTCCAGAAGAGAAAATATTATCAGACATACTATGAAAATGTCCTTTCTGTTAAACATCATTTAGGAAATATTATTAAAAAAAAGAAGAAAAAAATCAAAGGGGATCTTCAACTGTAAATGGATCAAGAAGAATTCAGCATCAGGACATACATTGCAAATCTAGGCCAAAATATTTATTTGTCTTTATAATATTTTAGTTTAGACAACACAAGTTATGTTAAAGAATAAACCACACTGTGAGAAATGTAACAACATACATCTTGTGCATTTGGAAGTGATATTTTTTTCTTCAAACTTTAAATCCCTGTTTTAAAAAAAGGATTATTCTGCCTAAAGAACAGGCATGGTATTAACAAATGAAAACTTTGAAGCTTTGGTAGCACTTTATTTTGATGATCCATTTTAGTATTAGTAGACTGTCTGCTTGATATCTGCTGATATTGCTCCTTCAACGAACATTTAACTGACTATAAGTAACTTTGCAAGTGCATGTCAACTTACACTAACCTCAACCCCAGCCGAACAGTCTACTTAATCTAATGAGAACTAGTTGGCATGTAGATGCAATGTAACTTCAATTCAGCAAAAGGAGCATCAAAATAAAGTGTGACCAAAGCTTTTTTAGCACTTGTGCAGCAAGATAAGCTGAAAAATAAATAGTTAACATCCCAATTTCCAACTATTTAACCCTCAGCCAGTGTTCAAGGGTCTGGTGGACCTGCAGCATGTTTGCATTTTTAAATAAAAATCTCCAACTACAAAAAGTGAAGTGTCAAAAGCCAGTGCTCAAAGAAATTCCAGGATTTCCCACTTGTATGTACCACATGTGCACTCTTCTCGTAAATACGACAATTCTGGCATAGCTTGAGGGCAGCAAAAATCAGTTCATATAAAACTTTGTCTTTGTTTATTGGTCCCATCAGTTTCTACAGCTTCACCATCAGTATGCTGTCACACAACTGTCACTGAGCCAGAATGAATGGGCTTATAATACAAAAGAGGAAAAGTGACAAACTGTCGGATTCTCTGCCCTCTGCATACAACTGGAGTCCAGGCTCTATTAGGTTTGTTTATTACTTCATTTCCTGCAATCAACCCTAGCGGACCCCCATAGCTGTGATTTCATTTGAATATTTGAAGTCAGCTTTTGTAAAAGCAAAACTACTGACTTTCTAATGAGATCATGCTTTGACTATTAATAGACTTCTTTATTTTGACTCTATTAATAATAACCACATACTAACCTTTTTATCTACTACTGGAATATTGTAATGGTGTCAGGTCATAGTGAATGCAGATCCCAGAAAGATGATCATGAAAATAATAATAACTCCAACCTCATAGTGTGCTAACAAATTACTCTCAAATCTGGTTGTCTGCTATAACCCTCTCATTTATTTTCTTATGTCTGATTCAAATTAAACCGGACAGATCCTTTTAATTAGCAAAACACTCTACGGTATTTACATTAAGCTTTTGAGAAGAGGGAACATGTGAAGTGCACATTAACGTTTTGCTCTGAACATCCAGCAGTGTTATTCTGGACACGAGGCCCAAGGACTAACTGAAATAAGGTTTAGACATGAGGATGTTATAGGTTATTCCTTGAGGACTTCAGCTGCTCCAGATTTCCATAGGCTGCCAGCATTTTAATTTGTACAATTAGGTTGTCGAAACCAATAGTTTATAAAACATTCAGTATCACAATTAAACAAATATAAAAATAACAATAAATAAATATATTTACACTATATAAATAAATAAACAAAACAAATAAATCCACTAAACAAACAAATAAATAAATGTATACATATTATCAGACAAAACTGCATGAATTTTTTTTAGGTTTTCAATGTATAAATGTATTAAATTATATAAATATAATATAATAAAATATAATATTTGTATTGTAAAATAAAAGTTTTAATTTATAATAATTATGTAATTTATATAATGTTCACACTTGAATAGTTTTTCATGATGGGCATGAACAAATAGACAAATAATAATAATAATAATAATAATAATAATAATAATAATAATAATAATAATAATAATAATAATAATAAATTCACTAAATAAATAAACAAATACATTCATAAATATATAAATAAACAAATAAATTCACTAAATAAATAAATAAATATTTAAATATTATTAGACAAAATGCATTTAAAAAGTTTTAAGTTTTAAATTTATAAATGTATAAAATTGATAATTTATTTTACATTTTAATACATGTATTATTAATATTTTTATTTTAAAATAAAAATTTTAATTTATATAACAATTATGTAATTTATATAATTTTCACCCTTGCATAAACTTTTATGATGGGCATAAACAAATATACAAATTTTAATAATAAATAAATAAATAAATAAATCTAATAAATTCACTAAATAAATGAAATAAATAAATATATACATATTATCAGAAAATAAAATTCAAGAAGATTTTTAAAGTTTTCAATACATAAATGTATTAAATGTATTAAATTACATAAATACTTTTAGATAAAAAAAAATGAAAAATATTTAATTAACATTTTTAACATGTATTATTCATATTTTTATTTTAAATTAAATTTTAAATTTATATAATAATTGTGTAATTTATATAATTTTTACCCTTTAATAATTTTCCATGATGGGCATAAAAAATATAAATAATAATAATAAATTCACTAAATAAAAAAGTTTTTAGTTTTTAATAAATAAATAAATATATTAAATTATATTAATATTTTTTACTAAAAAATAATGGATAATAATTTAATTTACTTTTTTTTATACACGTATTATTAATATTTTTATCCTAAAATAAAAATTTGACTTTATATAAAAACTGTGTAATTTATATAATTTTTATCCTTGGATAAACTTTCATGATGGGCATAAACAAATATTCAAATAATAAT